TGTAACGAAGAAACAATAAATCTGCAGCAATTGCAAAGATGTTTTAGTTTTAATGGGCATACAAATTGTAACCATGCAATTATAAATTATTCATACAAAAAAAAAAAAAACAGAAGAAGGAATAGTGCCGGTCCAACCCTTTTGTCACTACCAAATCTTGTCGCGAGAAAACGTTTGACATGGAATTTGATATCTTTAAGTGCTCATTCAAGGCTCTCTAGCCCCCCCCACCAACAAAAATTCTCTTTCATCTCTCTTCCTGGCTACTTCCCTCCCTCTTAAAACCCTCTCTCTCAACCTCCATTACCACCCAGACTATACACTATCACGCTAGACAGAGGGAGAGGTTTTACGAGGCTTTTAAACAGCACCCTTTTGATACATCTCTTCTTTGAATCAACGACCAAATCAACTTCCCTTCCATCTTTTTTTTTTGTCAATTACACTCACATGCACCGTTGACACAAACAAGCAACCCGTTGTAGATACACGCCCTTTTGTACCTTTTTTTTTTTCTGGGTTTGCAGTGTTGAATTGAACAATGAAGGGCGAGGATCAAGCGAGGTCTTTGTTTGGGATTTCTTTATCCGATCGCCCTAAATGGCAACAGTTTCTTATTTGCTCTTCTGGGTTCTTCTTTGGCTATCTCATTAATGGCGTCTGCGAGGTTTGTTTTAGACCTTTGTCACTGTTTATCGTCTTGGGATTTTTTTATAAAGTGTGGAGATGTTGTTTGTTTCTTTTTTTTTTTATAAAGTGTGGAGATGTTGTTTGTTTGTTTCTTTTTCTTTTTTTCACTTCGATGGCCAATTGTTCTTGTTTTTCTTTTCCTTTTGGTGTAATTGGTTAAATTTTTATGTTGTGAGCATCGATTTATTTCTAAGGTTTTTGCTATACTCTGTTCGATTGCTGAGATTGAAACTAACGGAAAGCAAAGTTTTTAGCTTTTGGATTTAATCGATGACAAAGTCTCATGATTTTTGTTTTCTCTGCAACCAAACAGAGGTGGCCGTGTGCGTTTTAATTTTTTGTTTTTTAAAGTTTACCAAGTCAACTGTCTTCTTATGGTCATTATTTTGCTAAAAAGATTTTTCTTTTCTTTCTGGGTGTTCCTTGTATACTGTTTTATTCGTTTTGACCTTAAATTATGAAAATCGAATATTACAATATTGGTAAATTTCTGGTTGGTTTTTGTTTGCTTCTCATTTTTGAACCTTTGATCTGATCATTGACGTTTCGCATCTTTCATTGGCTAATTCCAGGAATATGTGTATAATCGGCTTCAATTCAGGTACATGACCATCGATAGTATTTTCTAGTTTCGTTCTGTCATGTAGTAATTCTTATGCATGTTTGTTTTTTCTTTCGAGTTTTCAGCTATGGTTGGTATTTCACATTTGTACAAGGATTTGTGTACTTGGTGCTTATATACTTGCAGGGTTTTACCCCCAAGCAAATGGTGAATCCATGGAAAACTTATTGGAAACTCTCTGCTGTTCTTATGGGTTCTCATGGGCTGACTAAGGGGTCCCTGGCCTTTCTCAATTATCCAGCTCAAATCATGTTCAAATCCACCAAGGTGAACTCAGTTCTTATCAACCTCTTCTTCTTTAAACTTATATTCATGCTTTAAACTTATATTCATGTCTTCTAATCTGATGTCTTATTAAGTAGGTCGTGAAAGGTTTTGTTCTTATTTTAAAAAGATTTATGTACATATGGAAGTAATATTTAATTGAACTTATGTTGCTTGCATTTGAATACGTGGAAATCTTGAAGAAATTTAAGATGGATCTTGTCTCTTATTCTGTAATTTGTGAGTTTTGGTGATTTCGAGAATCTAGGTACTGCCAGTTATGGTAATGGGCGCCTTTATTCCAGGACTGAGAAGAAAATATCCATTTCATGAATACATATCAGCCCTGCTTCTGGTCATCGGTCTGATCCTTTTCACCTTGGCAGATGCCCAAACATCGCCAAATTTTAGCATAATTGGTGTCCTGATGATTTCTGGTGCTTTAATTATGGATTCTTTAATGGGTAATTTGCAAGAAGCAATATTTACCATGAATCCTGACACCACTCAGGTGATCTCAATATTCTGTTGGTACATAAATGCAAAATTGATTTGGAAAAAAATAGTATTTCATTAGGCTTTCTTTTTTCCTTGACAGATCGAGGTGCTGTTCTGCTCGACAGTTGTTGGATTGCCTTTCTTGCTTCCTCCGATGATCCTGACTGGAGAGCTGTTTAAGGCTTGGAAATCCTGTGCTCAAGTAAAGAACTATGCTCTTACAAGTTTTTGTCATCTTCCATGCACTTATAAATTAATTTTAAAAGAAATCCTTCGTGTACATGTGGGGCTGCAATGAAAATGGTTGGGGTTAAGTTACACTTAACGTGCCGGGTATGCACAATCGAAGGAAGTTCCTAGGAGAAATCAATGATTTGGTGGTTGAAAGTCCACTTCATTTATTTAAATGATGAATACCGTCCCCTGACTTAGTCAAACCTCTAGTGGGGTTATTTTCTAACAAGCTTCTCTACTGGGGACATAACTTGCTTTAAAAAATTAGGAATTCTGTACTAAAGTATTGATAAGGGGAGAGTGAAATACCTATTGATTGACAAATAAAGAATTTATGTTACCAAGAGGTTTGTTTGGGTTAAGGGAAGACAGTTCATGAGTTCTTTTCTGGCCAATTGAACATAAAAACAGATTTAAGATTTTTGTTACTCCAGCTACTTATTCTCCTGGTATAACGTATTTAAAATAAATGATCTACTATCAGAAACCCAGATTGTCACTGCCTTAAATGTCTAATATTATTCCTTTTGATGATTACTACAAATTTTGTTTCTATTGCCAAGATCCTTTGATCATTGCTGCTGTATGTATTGCAGCATCCTTACGTGTATGGGGTATTAGTATTTGAAGCCATGGCCACATTCATTGGCCAAATTTCTGTTCTATCCCTCATTGCCATTTTTGGGGCTGCTACCACTGCCATGGTAAGTCCATTTTTCTCCCCCTCTGGATAGCTGTAAACTCTGCATTTTGTTCCCGACTTCAACATGTCTTGTATCGGAATATTTCACTTGGAAGCCTAATGGGGGATTCAATAGCTTTTTAAACAAGAATCAAAATGAGCTAATCGGAAATATTTCCACCACCTTATTATAGGATCATGTTTTCGCGTTTTACATGATATATCTAACTGGTGGGCTCTGATTTGTACTGGCATGCAGATAACAACTGCTAGAAAGGCAGTTACCTTGTTGCTGTCATACATGATATTCACAAAGCCATTAACTGAGCAGCATGGATCAGGGCTGCTGCTCATCGCCATGGGAATTATATTGAAGATGGTTCCTATAGATTATAAACCCCCCAGTAGGAGTGCACCTAGACATGGGAAGTCCCATTTTAAAGAAGAGAAAAGTCAAGCAGATAGTAGGAAAGGTGAAGGAGATGAAGAAAAAAGGCCCTTAGTTTGAAGACCAAGGTCATAGATTTATTTGTTCTTATTTGTAATTTTTTCCTCGAATTTGTTCTTGGTTTCTCATTAAACCCAGGAGGGGCATGGGGGATAGGAATAAGAAAAGTATATCAGGCCAGGAAAGAAAAGAGAGAATAGACATGCTAGCTACTTGTAATGTAAAATTTCAGTGGTGAAACTGATTTACCTTTCTATGTTTTTTAAATTGAAATAGGAGAGCAATGTTCTCTTTCTTTTTGTGGTCGATGTGGCATGCCCTTTTGCATAGTTTGATGTTCAATACAGAAATATATGGAGATTAAAGGGATGGTTGCCTCCACATGTGAACTTTAAAGCCTATGTCAACTGGTAGGGCAACCGCTCCTCCGCAGCTAACGGTTGATGTCGATGATCCTTCCTCGTAATGGCTGGCAATTTGTTCCATAGAAGTTTCAAATACAGAGACACGGAAGTGGCCCATCAAATGATCGAATGCCCCGAGGAGTGACATCCCATCCCATCCCATCGTCCTCCTGATTTTTGTCAAGAAAGTGTGCTGCTGCTCCACGCAAATTATTAATCGAAGTTATTATAGTGACGTGATAGCATGAAAGCATGGTTTCTCTGCCCCGAGAAACTTTATCATCATGGATATATTTAGATTAGCTTTTGTCAGCTCAATTAAATATTTTCCTCATCTCATTTAGGCATACCAACCGCCTTGAACTGTTTTCAAGGATTATTTTTATTTTTATTTTTATTTTTTCGCAAACTTCCCTCCAGTTGGAATCCGAAATGGAACAATGTTGGAAAAATCTCAATTTAGTCCCAAACCTTTAAAACTTATCAATTAGGTCTTACATTTATCGCTTGTGTCCTTTTGTCAAATTATTTTAATAATTTAAGTCTAATTGCATATTTTATGCTCTAAAGTGATTTTCCATCGACATTAAACTTTTACGTCTGATGCGCTTATTTATGCACTAAAATGGCATAATTTGAAAAAAAATAAAAACAAACTAATAAAAAGACTTGATCGATAATTTTTTAAATGGAAATGATAAAATCTATAAATTCAAGACTCAATTGAAAATGAGTATAAAATTGGGACTAAATTGAGGTTTTCAGGATAATTTATATTCACAAGCCTTATTAAATCAATCTGTTTCAGTTTTGCTCTCAAGAACTTCCTTCCCCACCCCCTCACCAAATGATATCATGGGCTCAAAGCCCATCCGATGAGCTGGTAAAATTTGTAAATATTTACAAATTTAGATTTATATTTAAAAAGTGTTTAAAAAATTTTGAATTTTTTTATTTTAAATAATTTTTTTAATAATTTTAATATATATATATATTAACTCCTCCGGCAAACTGTAATGGTGGGGGGCAAAAAATAGCACGATGCAGATGGGCCATGTGTCCACAATATCCAACGGCCCCAGTTGAAATTTAGTACCCCACGTGATCAGACGGTCACAATCACCTCACTTTTTTATTAAATTAATCTCCAAATTTTGAAAAAGATAGCATCATCATTCACCACCATTAACCACAAGCCGCAAAAAGAAAATTGAAAAAATAATTCAAAAGCAAGAAAAACCCTATTTTTGTTCCCTTTCTCTCCTTGCAGCTTTTCAAGAAAAGAAGAAATCATGAAAGGAGCGAAACGATTTGCCGCTTCAGACCCAGTCCCTGACTCGAATGACACGGCAGTGAGTTTCCTAAAGAAAACCCTAATTTGATTCTACTTGATTGTCTTGTTTACTTGATAAAGGATATACTTATTTGTGCTTTTAGGGGAAAAAAAAACATTTCTTTAGTTCTGCTTTGGTTTTGTAATAATGAAGTTTGGATTTTGAATTGCGGGCTGTAGCTTAAATTGGGAATTTGAATTTCGTTTTGAGTTTTTGAAGAATTTAGTGCTTTAATTGATATTTTTTTATGATAAAGTGAAATTAGGGCTAAAATTTAGTTCTTTTTGTTTCTAGACGGTCTATGTATTTTATGTTAATGCATTTTAAGGAGCTTTAGTGAGATTCTTGGTTGCATTTGTTCATATCTTTGAATTTTTAATTGAGCTCATTGTGTAGCAAAATCAAAACTACGATTCCATATCAACTAAGTTTTTGTTATTTTCACTGCTGGCTTTTATGCTTTTTCATGGAAAGAATAATTTATTTTACATCTTTTTGATATTGACCTCCAATCATGTTTTAGAGGCTGATTGTGCCACACTCATTATGGTTGCAGTTACGGAATAAGAGAATAATGGAAGGATCGCTATTTGATATTCATAGACCTGAACAATCTCAGCAACAATCGACTCCATTGCCACCATTGGATGCAAAACGGGCTGCTTCATCACAGCAGCATGTGAGAGCTCTCAATAACCAATTTGCCAGGTCCATTTCTTTCTTTGTATTTGAACAATTTTGCGTCTTCATTATCTGGTCAACTTAGTTTCTGCTTCAATGATTAATTTGGATGAAGATGATGCGTTCTCTTGTTTGTATACCCCCCCTGAAATTATAGGCTTAATTTGTGGGACTTCTTTCGATTTTGAATAGTTGGGTTCAAACGCAACTGAAGAACCATCCTGATGAACTCTGGGAAGATGGGATTCGAGATTACCTTGCTCATGCTTCAAACATTATGGTAACATTTAACATCCTTTAGTATGCATTAAAGGGGATATGCATGCACTCATCTTTATATTGTAAAATGCATTTATAAAAACTTTGATCTTCTCTCTAATTGCAGGAGAAGTTTAGTGAAGTTGTCAGCTGGCTTAAAGCAAATGCTGTAAAAGGAGGGCCTGTTGCTGATTCTCTTCCAGCTGAAAAGAAATTAGTGCCTGAAATAAAGAATAATGAGAGCAAATTACTTCAAGAAAAAACCGGGTTTGCTTTACCGAGTAGCAGTACAAGCTTTACAAGTTCCTGGAGCTCTGGTGTCTTTTCTGCCAACCAAAGTTCTGGAGGAGTATCATCTAGTAGCCAAAGCTCTAGTTTATTCTCCAATGGTCAAAGTTCTGGTTCATTATTATTGAACAATTCAAGTTCTGTTTTGTCCTCAAACAACCAAAGCTCTGGATTTTTCTCAAACATTCAAAGCCCTGGCCTCTTGTCCAACAATCAAAGCTCTGGAGCATTCTCCAACAGCCAGAGTTTAGGAGCACTCTCCAACAGTCAAACACCTTTCTCCTTTAATCAAAGCTCCGGAACATTCTCCAACAGCCAAAGTTTAGGAGCACTTCCCAACACTCAAACATCTTTTTTGTTTGGTAGGTTTTGTGCTGCTTTACTTCAATGCTACACAGGTTATAAATTCACACCAGCAGTAGTAAGTTGCTAAGATGAATTATGTGCCAGAGAAAATGGAAAAATACATTTGTGACATTGGAAATATTTGCCATGCTCAAGTAGGACCTATAAGTGAGTCTTGGTTCTAGTTTGATCATCTAGATGAAGATAGTCCTTTAAAGGTGACAACAGTTCTGTGATATTGTGAACTGGATGGTGAAAGGTATTCCCATAAGACCTACCAGACCTTGCTACATGCACCTTGGTGTCTAATGGTGTGGCAATATAGTCCAGAGAGTGGGTGAAGGAAAGTCAATATGAGTTGACTGTTCACAACTAGAGAGTACTGAATTCAGAACTGTTGTAGATGGGATGTTGACACAACATATAGTGTGGATAAAAGCTCAGGTTCTCAAGCCCTAAGGTTATACACCCAAGCTGTAGAGAAATTTAGAGAAAACTCTAAAATTCTGAATCTGAATCTCAAAATAAACTAGATATCCCTATTTATATTAGTTAGATCTAAAATCCTTTATAGAAATTATTACTAGTTAAAACTTACTTAACTGATAGAATACATCTAGTATTAGAATTTCAAAATGGTAAAACATAATTTCAATTAAAATTTCTAATCTAAACAGGTTAAAACAATCCAAGTACAATAAAGTAAATAAAGACAATGCTGCATGATAACTTTTGAGCTTTATTTGAATACCTTTTGGATCTCCAATTATCATGAAATTTTAACCTATTAAGGCTTTCAGAATCTTCTGTTAAAACTTCAACTCAATCTAATGGTTTTATTAGAAGTTATGCTTTATTTACCAAAACTTCATCTTAGACGCTTCTTAATCTCTCAAAACCTAAAAATCTTAATTGTTAATGAAATAATACAATAAACATTATTATACCAAGAATATTGAAGAACTCTCGCCCACGTTAGTCCCCTTTTACTTTTGAGAAACTCGGCCTTGAGTTACTTGTCAAGAATTGAACTTTTCTATTCCAAAGGAACAAATAATTTGAATATAGTATTTTAGCTAACATATTCATGTTAAAAGGATTTTTCGGAATTGTTTCAAACCCGGTTTGACCTGTGAACTTCAAAATTTAAGTTATGATGTGTGCATGCTAAAGAAAAATCCATATATAATGTTATACTTGCTATTCCTAAGAAATCTCCACCTTTAGTTCCTTCACCCATTTGTTTACTTCAAACTTGACCTTTTCATCATCTATGACCTACAATATTTCAACCTTTGAATACAAAGAAACTTCGACATAATCTTTCATAATATCTTTAGGAAAATTGTCTAAAATTACCATGTCCTCCATATTCTTACTTCCGAGATCTTCATTCTTGATTGAAAGATCATCATTAGCCACTATCTTCTCCAACTTAAAAAGACTAAAATTGTTTGTCGGCATCCTCTTTGGTCATGTTATCTTCAACATGATTTGATAACTTTGAAATTTTGCTTTTACTAAATTCCTCCACGTAGACAAGTGATTGTCCAGGTGGAATTTCAAGAATAGGTCATAGGTAAGGTTAGCCTCCAAGAAAGTCTCCAAGCATGTTCCTTTTCTCTTTGTGATTCCTGTTTGCGTCACCTATTAGCCGATTTAGACCTGCTATGGCTTGCTCCAATCAATCCATTCTCCGTTCTTAATCTACTCATGAGCCCGCACAGCGCCACAGTGGGTCTCCACTCGTACATTGCAAAGTGGGTTGCTACTGTCTCCATCAATCAAAGAGGTCAACTTGCTTTGATACTAATTGACATGGTGCATGGTGTGGATTGAAGTTAGGATTCTCAAGCTCTAAGGTTAATGACCTAAGTTGTAGAGAAATTTATAGAAAATTCTTCGACATTTTATTAAAAGTTTGAATAGTTCGAAACCAAGTCTCAAAATTAACTAGACATCTTTATTTATATTAGTTAGATAAAAAGGCATTTATAGGAAAGGATTTCTAGTTAAAACTAAAATCCTTTATAGGAAAGGATTTCTAATTAAAACTTATCTACCTAATAGAATCCATCTAGGATTAGGATTTCCAAAGAGTAAAATATTAATTAAATTAAAAGGCCTAATCTAAATAGAAAAAAAGAAGTCAAACACACTAAGGCATATAAAAACAATCTTAAAAAGTAACTTTTGAGCTTTATTTGAAAGCCTCTTTGATCTCCGATCATCATAGAATTTTAAACCAATTGAAAATAGGGCCTTCAGAATTTTCTATTAAAATTTCAGCTTGATCCAATAGTCAAATTATAAGTTGTCTAATTTACCACACTGTTTATTGGACTCTTCTTAAACTCTTCAAAACCTAAAGATTGTAACGATTAATGAAGATTAATGAAATAATGTGATAAACATTACCATGTCAAGAATATTTTAGCTAATAAGATACAAAGATGCAGATATGACAATTCGTTAGTGATTCTGCTGTGGTTTTTTATATAGATTATAGTCATAAGTTGCTTTTGTGGAAGTGACATGAAATCTGACTTCTTGTTTTTTTTTAAAAAAAAAAATAGGTGGCCAAAGCTCCTTCCCTGCAAACCATAACACTGCAGATGATGGTGAGAGAAAGAAGAATTTCCTTTTCATTGTTTGAGATTCTCTTAAGCCATTACTTTAAGTTAAACCTGCTATGCATTTTATGATTATCATCAATTGGCTGCTTGTGCATGCATGCATTATTTGAGATAATCATGTTATGTGCATAAGTGTGAACTGGGCTTCTTACCTGTTTCACATACTGCTAGTTGAAATTTGGTTTCAAGTCTTCAAAACATTGGCATGTTGTGAATACCTTCTTGTTGGTTCCTTTTGGAAAATTGGATCAGAGACTTGTTCAGGCTATTAGTATTGTAAGTTATTGAGTTTATTCAATTGCAAGCCTGATGCTTTTAAAGATATAAAGGAACATGCTGCAAATGTAGAAATCAATTTTGATCTGTGGTTTTATGTCTGTTGTCCTTTTTTCTCAACTTTTGAAGACCATGGAACTACCACTCTTAATAGATTAGATTTTCACTTTGAACTTGGTTGTGAAATATTGGAAGAGGATAGTTGAGTGTATTAAGGTAACTCTTGGGAGTTTGCTGTATTTCTGAGAGTATTTGTTGTTTTTACTATTTCTCTACAGCATAAGCAGACAAAATAGTTGTTCTTGTTTACTGGAAATGAAGACATTAATCATTAAACTATCAATTCCTATATTCCTTGGATTTGATATGTTGTGTTATATGTACACACACACACACACACACACACGTGAAATTTTAATGTTTGATTATTCAGTCAACTGAATGGTCTCTCTGCTCTGTGAAGTTTGTGCTTTCATGATGTGGGTCTGATTTACTGGTTCTAGCTCTGATCCATTTCGAAGCTGGATTTGCACAGGTTGTTTGCATGTTTATTAGAACTTTGAAATCTTAAATGGTAGACAGTTCTTTTTTCATATTATTTGAATAATATTCCTTCTAGCCTGGAAACCCCAGCCCACTCGAGTGTTTGTTTTATGTTGATGTTAAACCCTTTTCTTTTACCAGAAAATGAATTACAGCAACCTGGCAGTCCATCTGTGAAGAAGTCTGTAGAGAAGGGTATTGTGACAGTCCATGAAGTCAAGTGCAAGCTCTATGTGAAGGTAATTGACATGTCATATTGTACTTATTGAGACTGCATTGCGAAGCTTTTATTTTTGGGGTAAGGTTATGTAAATGTTATCAACTTTTAATAGTAGAAGAAAGTTGTCTTCTGCTCATGCATACCAGCAAATCTAACTTTCTCCTCGCCCCTTTTTTTTATGAAATTAGTTAGTTTGGCATCTAATATTTCTATCTAATGCTATGTCAAAAATCTCATCATTGATTTTGAAATGAAGATCATTTCATGTTTCACGCATTCCATGAGATTTTAAGGTCCAGCATTAGTAATTAATAGTACAGGTAACAAAAAGATTAAAAATAATGATTAAAAAAAAGCCCTGAACCAAACTCTGTATTTGTGGTTTCAATTAAGGGGTGTAGTGACAAGTGGTACTTCAATTCTCCCAAAATCAGAATATCCAGGATTCTAAGTGTATCAGTTGTTAATGCGTATTGGTGTGATTTGAGTTTGGCAGTTCTGTATTCATCTTGAAATGATGCCAATGCTGTCCCCATTCTGTATCTTGGTTATGCTCGTAATTGATCTGCCTCATGAATTGAGATGATCTGCATGCCAGTCAAGTCTTGACTTGCATCTTCTGCTTGTGCTGCCTTCTTTGTGGTTGAATGATTTCCGTGGTTTTTTTCTCATGATATGTTCAGTCAAGTGATCCGGCAGATGAGGACACATGGAAAGATAAGGGCCCAGGGCAGCTTTCCATCAAATGCAGAGAGGGGATTGGCAAGTCCACGAAAGAATCTAAACCAACAATTGTTGTTCGAAATGATGTATGTTCGAAATGATTAGGCATTTATTTTCTTTTGATAGGCATGGCATCGTGCTTAGTTGAAATTGCTACTTTAACTCCGGTGCAACTCTCTCTTGGACTTACTGTCTGTAGTGTTTTTGCTGATGGCAGGTGGGGAAAGTGTTACTTAATGCTTTGCTCTATCCAGGAATCAAGACAAATCCACAGAAGAATTCCCTTGTTGCAATATTTCACACTGCAGTAATGCGTTTTAATTCTTTATATTTGCACTTTTATGAGCATATAAACTTTGCCTGGTTTAGCCTTCACCTGCGAATGTTAACAGATTCACATAACCATCACATAGAAGGCTGCTGTAATGGCAGATATTAATCTTAGTGTTTAATGTAGCATGTCTATCATGAAACTTATAGCCGATGGTTCGTCTTATTGTAGGGTGATGATAGCGGCAATAATGATAGTGTTGTGGCACGTACTTTCTTAATTAGGACAAAAACGGAGGAGGATCGGAATAAGCTAGCGACAGCAATCCAAGAATACGCTCCTCCTTCATGAAAGTCGTTATAGGAGCACGAGTCTTAAAATTTTGCAGCAATTGGCTTGTTAGGAACTGAGCCAGCTTGTCTTGGGGCTCCAAAATAACAGGGGTCAATTTTTAGAACTCGGACCCCATGAAATCAAATGTATTTCTATTACTTGTATTATAATAGGAGGAAAAGGAATGCTATGTTTTGTTTCAATCTTAAACCGTCATTCTCCTTTTAGTGTTTATTTGATGAATGAGCACGTCATCATATGACTGGCATCATTCACGGTGTCCAAACGCCTTAATTGATGCAATGCTATCAAATATTTCTTCTCTCTCTGAAGTGTAATTGAAGGCAAATAGAATCAAGAGATTGCAAGTTCTCCTGCACAAGTTGCCCCTAGATACAGAAACAAAATTTAATAATAATACTGGAAGTGCTTTGGATGGAGGGGGAGATGAATGCATTTGAAATTTAATTATGTGCTCCTTCTGTTGTGTACTAGCATATTGAAATGAAGCCACAAATCAATTCTGTCATCGGAGTTCAGTTCCTCACATCCCCAAAACTTTGCGTGTCGGCCATTATTAGAACTCGTTAATACTTCCAAGGTAATCCTTCCCAGGTGCCCACCAGGGTACGAATTGCATATGCCCGCCTCTAGGCTCTAGCTCACGAGTGACAATCCAAGTGATGGGGCGGTAAGGATGTGACTGCATGATGCCCAGATTCAGTGACCATGACATTAAGTTGATCGAGCTCGCCTAGACCTATGGTGTGATTTCTTCTGCCGTGGATACTGGATAATTTAGACCCATCGAACCCTTCCTGTCGAATTTCTATCTTCTGCATCATTTCTCCTATTCCACGGTTAACTGGAACAAAAGTATCTGACAATGCAGGGAGCTTTCCTAAGAATACTTCTGCACCAGCCAAGAAAGAGAGCTTCGAATGGTAATTCATGGGCAAATATACTACACGTATTAATTAAATTGGAAAAAAAGTATCTGACAATACTGGTTTTGACAAATTCTAGATTTTTGTTTTTAAAAAAACTCCTTTGATTAAATTGGGAGTTAATTAGAAATTAGTCCCCGTAGTATATCATAATTAATTAATTGTTCCATATAGAAAATAGTCAAATATTCATTTGGACATCGTTGACCATACTTAATTTAGTTGTTTTTTATCCCAAAAATATCTTCTTTCCCGGTCAAATTTCCCCGTCCTATCTAATTATATGTATCTTTTAAAAAATAAAAATAGAATGAATTGAAGAAAATTACCAAGTTATAATTGGATTTTATGAGCTTAGGGATGTAATAATATTTGTTGAAATTACATTACCAAGTTATAATTGGATTTTATGAGCTTAGGGATGTAATAATATTTGTTGAAATTACAAGGACTAACTTAAAACCAACACTTAAACTGGCAACCTAGCAAGGGTGTAAATGATGCCCAGTCAAGTGACAGCAAGCTGTAGGTTTTACCTGACTTGAACACTATGCAGTCTGCACCCAAATAGCTTGGCATAGAGTCCCATTAAACGACAAGAAAATTCAATGTCAATATTTGTTTATGCTTCTTCTTCTCCATCCTCGTTCATTAATAAGGGGTAGGACCAGATAAAGGGTGTAAAAGGAGCTGAAAAATAATCCCATTTTAGGCTCTTTAAGTCCAGGCAGACGGCACTTTGCCGGGTAAAAGAAATGCTGGCTTTTGTTGTGGGATCCTCGCATAACTTTGACAGGGAGGTCGCTTCGATTCTGTGTGTAATAAGTGAGGCAATGTGGCGTGGCCAAGTAGCCTGGCCCCATTGTGTGTGAACTGTAATTTATTAGCTCAGGTCCCCCGCGGGCTTGATGGTTTTAGTATAACGAATTGAATCCAGTTGACAACAGTTTTAAAGAATTTCCACTTTGCTTGATTATGCAGTATATTAGCAATAACAACAGCAGAATCATACAAGGTGATAACCCTCTTTTCTTGATGACTGATCTTTTTTTCTTGATGACTGATGTTGAGAGGTTTAATTACCTTTTAATTACAATTGACTTGCTACTGATGTGAAGAGATTGATCTTTAGTCAAGTATTTTTTTTTTTGAACAATTTTTGAGAAATTATATAATGTTAAAAAACAATCATTTTCAGTAGTGGGAAATCTCTACACCGTCTGGATTGGAGGAGGACAGAGGATGCATCCACATGTCCGAAACTTGCTTCATTGTCACCCCACTCTCTGTCTCAGCAAATGGGAAATTTGATTGATCTGAGAAATAACTATCACGTAATAATTTCTTTAAAAAGAATGCAGACAGCTAACATTAATGAGTGTCCTGGAAAAAAGATATGCCAGACAGGATTTGAATGGACATCCCTGACATAATTCCACGACCAGAATTCAATTCGGCTAGTTGTAATCTATGGTAAAGATATCCGCTCCATTAAACCTGCTGTGGATTCTGTACCTGCAAGTTATATCGCGTCACCATCTTTCGCCATCTCATCTCTCTTCATTAATACAGGGTGTGTCTGGTGTGTCTCTGGTGATAAGGAGAGTTGTGTGAAAATTCAGGAAAGGAGAGAAAATATGACTTTTGACCCGTAACGACACTGTGTATTGTTTTCGTGTTTAACGTATTATTGTCCAAAAATACACCATTAACTGGCTAGCTAAATCGTGTCCCTACTGCGACCTTTGAGCCATTTAAGAATAAACATCTTTGAATTTTAATTTAGGGTTTGACCTCTAATGAACTTTGTTAGATTTCATTTGCACCCAGATAATTTTTTTTTTTTTTTTTGTAGAATTCAATCCACGAAGGAAACTCGTTAATAATTAACAATAAGTTACATTTTCGCATGCAAAATCCATCAACATACAGATGGAATCTTACAAGAATTAATGAAATGATTTGATTTCAAGTGAAGCATGGTTTAATGAAGTCTGCTAAAGGTTTAATTTTCAAATGATCTGAAGTTTATGTGAGGTGGCACCTTGCCTATCTGGCGAAGTTAATTCTTCATCCATGTCCTGTGCTGGGTCGGCAGGTCGTATTTGATAATGCATCTGAAATGCTTTCGCAAGAGTAGTTTTTTTTTTTTTCATCAATAGTTTTGAGCACACTGTATTAAATTATTGACGATACTTCAAAAACATTTATTTTATTTTATTTTTATTTTAGAAAAAAGACTACGAACCTTTCAAAAAGGTTTTTTTCAAGAAAATTACTTTTTTATAAGTGCAATTTTATAAAGTCCAATTTGCATATTGCATATAGGATGAATACAAAAATATTTAAATTTGAACAAATAGATGAATCTACTATATATAACATAATAAAAAAGTTCAAAGAACTTATTAGTCTATCCAGAATTTACTCTTCGTACAACATGATTATATTTGGAATTATAGTAGTATTTGTAATTTAAAATATTTTTTACTTAGAAATATATTAAAATAAAATTTTTTATTTAAAAAAATAATTTTAAGATCAGTATATTAAAATAATTTTAAAAATAAAAAAATTTAACAAAAATAAATATTTAAAATTTAAGAACCACATTCCCCTCAATTCTTGACAAACAGAAAATTTTAAAAAAAAATCAAAACCTTGTTTACTTTGTTTATGAAAGAGTTGATGTGATTGAAGAAATAAAAAGTTTGAAATCACTGTAGTGTCGTCAGAGATGAATGGTCTAAAGAAATCATCATCAAAACCTGGAAATAAATCACCGATGGTCAATAATACTAGAGACTCGAACTTTCAAGGGCAAAACATTAATGATCATCGGAGTGTTAATGGCAAGTTTGGTGAGACTGGGATTTAAGCAATGGGAAGACTAATGGGACCTCGATGCAAAAGGTGCTTCATATATCCTTTTCTTTTCCAAGTCAAAAATCTTCCTTGCTACCATGTCCGTCGCGTTGTATGGCAAAGAATCTCTCTCGAGCAAGGTCAGCCGTCAGCCTCCCTTGGAATCTTCATGGCGTTGACTCATGACCATGAGCATGAAATTCGCAAAACCAGACGGAATAAATCCAACCAGATTGAAACTGAGGTTAGGAACAGAAGTACAAATTTGGTGGAGATGCTGTCAGAGCTGAATCCTATGGTTGAAGAGTTTGTGCCTCCTTCACTGGCTAACCATCATGCATATTTTGATAATGGATTTCCCTTTAAAACTCTATTTCTTTTTAAGTTTTAAAAATATTTTTAAAAAATAAAATTTATTTCAAATTATTTATTTTATTTTCAAATCATTTTGATATATTAATATTAAAAAATAAAAAATATATTAAAAACAACCGTAACATTACTTACAGACATTCTAAATTCTAATACTCTAACAGTGCAAACTAATCATGGTGTAGGCAATGGAACAGTAATACAAGAAGGATATGTTTTATTTTCCTCCCGGAAGAAATTAAAAGTTCCATTCGTACTTTTGTTGCTATGGTGGAAATTAAAAAGGTGAGATTCTTTAATCATATTCTCCTTTCTTGTTCTAAAGTATGTTGTGCTGCTGTTTTGGTTTGTTGGATTTGAATGGGTAGATTCGGTCAAGGAAAAAAAGAGAAGAGAAATGACTAGTTTTTTTCTTTTTAATTTGATCGCAGAGTTATAATTTTAATCTCCAAGTGTTTTTTAGTTATTAATTAGCAATCTTTTAATTTTTTTTTTTGACTAATTTTTCATGCATTCATATCAGCATGTAAGCTATTATAAACAAAGATAAATAAATTGTAATTTTAAAATTAAAATTCTGTTTATTTTTGTGTTTTAAAAAATTTCAAAAAAAATAAATTTTTTTATATTTTATTTCAAATTAATATTTTCTTAGTATTTTTAAATTATTTTTATATATTAATATCAAAAATTATTTTTTAAAGAATTATTATTTTAATATAATTTTAAATAAAAAATATTTTAAAAATTAATTACAACCATATTCTCTCGAACGGTTTATAAATATATCATGCAAATCTTAGAAGGGTCATTTTCCCTGTAAAGCGGCGCACGTTACCTGAGGAGGCGGGTATGCCTTTGACAATCCATTCCCTCTTCTATTTTTTGGCCTTTTGCCCCCTCTTTTATAGACTCGATTTCCATGACAGCCAATGTCATTTTTTCCTCGGAGCTTTCATGTTTTTTTATGCTTTAATTTTTGTTCATTTACAGGGTTTAGAAACATAAAGACTCTGGCTAATATTTTACACAATCATTAACAACTCAATATCAAGGTAATATTTTTTTTTTTAGATTAACGTGGGTGTCCGGGCCAGCTTGCACGCACCACGACTAATCCCACTGGCCCTGAAGTTAATGA